TACTCAGAAACCAACCCTATGTAACTCATAACCCGAGATCCACGGATTTGCACTTGCAGCTCACCCCAATACTTTTTGATAACGACAACCCCTTGCTAGACCGAGAAATAGGTCCTCCAATTCATCGCTGAGGCTACCAGTCTCGCCCTGGTCTAACCACCAGTTTCCAAGAGCCCAAATAACAAGGCTACCTGGCCTATCAACCCCTCTGCGACACACACACTAATCGCCTACATAAACTTTCCACTCAAGATCCAATCCTTGGTCCAAATCATCCTAGAGAATGCTACGATCCGAGTCGTAGGCTTTACACACTCTCTAACTTGCCATGAGCTCACCCTACTGTCTTTCCACGGTAGTCATGATGTTGCGACTAGTCAAGGGTCAGATAGATAGTCGAACAAATGATCTACCCAAGAGCGAACAATCATACAAGAGCATCAAAAATAGGCGTTAGACCAAGAGTTCTTAGGCTATCCAACTTAGACTACTAGAGATCCCGAACCGTAATCCCCATAGACCTGATCAACCAGTTAAGGCCCCCCTAGCCTAACTGAAACTTGCTCCACACTCATAACCGCACTTATCTTGGATTCTTTCCGATCGCAAGGAACTCTGCGTTCCCTACAAATATACCAATTTAAATTTCGTCATATGTACGAACCTTAAAATGGCTCACACTTTGAGCTATCCCCCGACAGTCCCAAGTGATTGCCCGCACTTAGATTCATCCACTCTTTTACAACCTCATAACCGCTAGATTACCGAACCATCCCACAATCGCATTACCAAACCACCACCATACTGAGGTTATTGAACTAATACCTCATGACCAAATATTAATAGGTACCCACACCCAAACCAGATTAAGCACATTACCACTTTCGACGAAGATTATCGCATCCGAAGCACCTTCCCTTAATACAATTCCACACCCTTGAACAACCCCATATGACGACAAAGAACTGATAGGCCCACAGTTAGGATAGGTAGATAGTCGATCCGTTGCTCCACTTATTACCAAAACAAACCTGATTCTTACAATAATTCTACAATCTAGAAATTTAGGGCAACATACTCGGAAGCCAAGATACACCATCACAGAATTTAATGATAGCTTGTCACGACCACTGATCTTCAAATTATACAACTCGAAACCTTCGAAGTATTCCAACTTATTAATGAAGAACGGAAAATAATCAATGATTGAGAATGCGTTGACGATAACCCAAAACCCCAATATTTACTGAACAAAACCCACACAAAACTACAGATACCAACTCTAAAGTTGATTGACAGATCTATCGCTGCTTTTCCTAGAGAATAGATAGCAATCTATACATCAATCTGGTAAATCCTTCAACAACCAAAACTTGAGCCAAACGACCCAACCGACTCATAAACGGAACATTGACGAAGCCAGTCACGATTCAGGTAGATACAACAACATGGTGGAGGACCAGCCACGTTTTGGCAAAGAGGCAAATCAACTTAATCGTTGATTTTTAATGCATTACTAAATTCAATTTTAATTAACGAAAATTTCTCGACATTTAAACAATTTAAAGCAGAATACCTGCACATACAACCCTAACATACTTAAAAGACAAAGTCTAAGTCCAATAGACTTGAGTTAACCTGCTATGATACCACTGATGTGTTTTAAGCCTCACTAGATCAAATATATGTCAGCGAAAACTATAAACAATTTTGATCTAAACTCGAAATCTGAAGAATCTAAACTATCTAGTCTACGTAACTTAGTAGAACTCTAAAGAAAACATGGATTTCTTAGTTGGTTTCTTCTTTTGTCTAGCTAGTAGATTGAACTAAAGAATCCAAATGAGAGTTCCTCTTTTGTGATCGCACCCAAGACGCAAACAAGAATCAGATCCAAGCAATACTCGAATTTCGAGCTCAAATAGAATCGAAACCTCGATTCTATTCTTTGGTTATGACGTAACAACCAAATGGTTACAACGATTCGGGATTTCTTTAGGGTTTGAGTATTCCAAACTTTTGTGGCTTAGAGGTGTATTTATTATCTTTCAAAACCGAAATCAGAGCTCTCTATTTATATAGAGGTGATTTGAAACCCCATAGATAAATATCAAATATAATTATAATTATATATGGTATTCAAATCATTCTGAAATATTACATATTCCATTTATTTACCATTAATTAAGTAAATTATTAATTAATTAACAAAACAAATCCCTCAAATAAATATCTTTACATATCTATTTCTTTTTATTCTTGTGTGTAACTCAAAATGACATTGTTATTTATAGTAATATTATTGAGCTTTTTTATGGCTATGGCCACGAATCTCCATCAAACATTCCCTATGATCAAAATAACTTGATATTAGAGTTCAAGAAAGCACAACTTTCATTTTCATCTTAGGCCAATATACCCGAGTCAGTGAAATTTTCTAACACAAGTCCCTCAACCCTAGCTTTTAAGATGGTGAGTTTTTTTACCCATAATGATAAAACGAAAGAAGAAGAACGATAAAGAAAATGGAGACACAATTTGATCTAAGGCGTTGAACAGTCTTCTTGACTGCAAGTATTTAGAGATATAAACAAGGTTTGAATTTATAGGAAGATTTGAACAAAAATCCCGGCCTTTGAAAATATAAATTTCCTAGGAAGTTGAACGGATGAGATTTATCCAGATAAAAGTTTCATGTCCTACCACCACCTAAGGACATGATTTCAAGTTTAGAAATCTCCATCTTCCAAGATCTTGAAAGAAAAAATTTCAGGGGCAATTGTTATGGATAGTGTTTTGTAGTTCTATTTTTATGTACGAATATTGACTAACATCTTTAGTGGCCCAAGATCCTAAATAACTAGTGTCTTGGTATTACTACTGTATCTCTTGTATTTTTGTCATGTCGGTTTAAAAGACTACTTCACATGACAAAGACTAAGTCAATTATGCATGTGATCAATAAAAATAGACCTCGAGTCTTCACACAATACTCGGTCAAAGCAAAGATATAGGAAGATACAAGATTTTTAGCTTAATTAGTTAGATCATTAATGTATAAAAGACAAGTTTGTTTACTCTTGCAAACACACGTACACTCCATCATTCTTACTAGCACTATAAAACATTGCTCACAATCAGCTTGAACTTGTAAAACACACTCCTCTTTTTAATAATATTTTTAAGCGGAGTAACTTTAATCACTTCCCGAGATTTTATGTTAGAGATCATGAAGGATCAAAGGCTTTCCTTGTAGATCTCTTGTTGTAGCTTTGATATTTACATTAATATTCTCCATTATTTCAATTCTCAAAGGTTTTAACACATTCATACTTTGCAGTTTTTCAATCATTATCAAGTATATACAATAAATCTCTTTCTACATTTCAGATACAATTAAGATTCTAAATTAGGGGTGAGCATGGTGCGGTTTGGTGCGGTTTTCAGACCAAACCGAACCGCAAACTGCATAGTGTGGTTTTTGCATTCTTAAAACTGTTGGGTGCGTTTTTTGCATTCTTAAAACCGTTGGGTGCGGTTTTTCAATGGTTCGGTTTTTCGGTTTTTAAATGCGCTTTCGGTTTGTATCGGTGCGGTTTCGTTTTTTAAACCGTGTTAAGAATTTGGTGCAGTTTTTTTTATGTTTTTTTGTGAGGTTTTTTAAAACTGTAAGAAGTGAAAACCATGTGCATATAAGTTTGTATTGTGCTGTTTTTTTTAATACATTCATTTTCAGCTCAAAACAAAATTACATAATCAAAAATTGTAAGTCGCTTAAAATACAACTTGTGACCACTCTCACAAACTAATTAATGATTGAAGGTTGATTGATTTTGACTTAATTTGTTACAAGCTTATTACATGTAATCGATTAGTACGTTTGACTAACAATAGAACATTTCTTTTTGCACCCATATAGTTTTATACAAACACAAAATAAACATATAATAAATATATTATCGTTTATAACTATTTTAAATAGAATGTATATAATATACATTGATTGATTTATTACTATACACGCTTGCGGTGCGGTTCGGTTTTGATGGACCGGTTTTTAGGATAGAAACCGCACCGCACCGTTGACCTTCGGTTTTTGCAAAAATTAAATCCGCACCATTGGTTTTTGAATCGGTTTCGGTTTTTCGGTTGCGGTTTATTGCGGTTTTGTCGGTTTTTCTTTAGTCAGTTCGGTTTTTGCTCACCCCTATTCTAAATATACTAACCACACAAAACCCATGCAACACTTACGCGATAAAACCCATACAACACTTATTTACGTTTCTGTTTAAAAGATCCTTATCATATTCAAAATCTACAATGCTTTTCAACATCTTTTACTTTCTTTGAACCTTCACACAAAAGATCACATCACACATGTTAATTTGATTACAAAGTAGTTATTACATTGATTTTTGACCAAAACATAAACGAATTTGGTTTGGGCGGAATCAATTTATATCCTATTTTTGCTAAGTGATATGAGTTAACCTATTTTTTGCAAAAGTTTTATAAGTTTACCATAGTTTTGCAAAAAAAAAAAAAAAAAAAAAAAAAAAAAACTTAACCTTTGGTGTGTAGATAAAATTGTCTACATGTAACATCCTTCACCCCATGTCTACATCTAACATCTTTTTGAGTACATATCATCCAACTAATACTGATGTGGCAAATCAAATAACAAATGAATGTCACAAACATACATAAGAGTTAAGACAACCTCATATAAGTTACCTTTCAAATGTTACAGACACAAAAGTGAAAACAAATCAGTGTATCATCTCCGGAATCACTCATTCCGGTTTCCAAAACGAAATGCAAAAAAGAGAAGATCAAACAAACATACAAAAGATTGCTCAGAATCCACCGGTGGAATTACCGTTTGAATTTAAAGATCCTCCTGATTCCCTTTTTACTAGTTTTGCTAATAATCCCTTTTCCAAAGTACTCAGCAATCACTGAAAATCCATCTTTTGTGAATTCTTAACTTGCTTGAAAAACTAATCTTGATTCTTGGAATTTTGTTCCAAGTTTCTTTTCATTTCAAGAACAGATCTGTACTCAAAGGCACATTCGGGACATTCTTTTTCATTGTCTCCAAGACAACGTTGATGAAAAGAATGCATACACATGAAGTGGACAGCTGGCAGATCGAGTGTGAAAGTACATGCAGTACATTTGCTTAATCTCACCAAATTAATCTCACCATCTTCACTTTCGATGAAAACATTCAACTTGTCAACATCTTTCAATTTGGAGGAACAGTTTAAGAGAAGGGTAGTATGGTCTTTTGACGCGAGACCCTTTTCGTGTAGCTTCTCGAGGTAATTTGTAAGGTTGTAGATTCTTTGTGCATCTAGAAACTTCTGGATGACATAAGAAGGTTCAAGATGACCAATTGTATGAATGTATTGACTCATGGCTTCATCAAAATCTTGCTTCATGTATAAATGATCACCATATTTTCTTAAAACTTCAGCAGTTGCAGCTGCATCAGCTTGTTGACTTTGAACAAGATTAATGGCGACTGTGTAAAGGTTTTTTTTGAAAAGCATGTCGAGTTTGCTTTCCATGTCTTTTTCTCCAATACATAAAGCCGATTTATCGTTCATGATAAGGAGGATGCTTCCCCATTCACAAAGCATATGGGAGACTTCTTTGGTTGCTATAACTATACTGTGTGCGATTAAACGGTTTTTGAGGTCATAGATGTTGAAGGTGTTTGAGCCACTTCTTTGGTCTGCAATTACACATAAGAGGTATCCATGAAACCACCAGAGTAACTTTTTTTCTCCTTCAAAAGCCCAACATGGACCTCTACCATCAACTTCATAGAAATATATTGCCTCGGGTCGACCAATGATAAGCTCCTAATTAACACCAAATTGCAATACTTTTATGCTTTAAAACGATAAACAATAACAATATATAGATACTAGCAATAAAGCAGGAAGCAGATACTAGCGATAAAGCAGAAAGCAGATACTAACGATAAAGCAAAAAGCAGATACTAGTGATAAAGCAGAAAGTAGATACTAGCAATAAAGCAAGGGGCAGATACTAGCGATAAAGCAGAAAGCAGATACTAACGATAAAGCAAGGGGCAAATACTAACGATAAAGTAGATACTAGCAATAAAGCAAGGAGCAGATACTAGCAATAAAGCAGAAAGCAGATACTAACGATCAAGCAGAAAGCAGATACTAGCGATAAAGCAAGGGGCAGATACTAGCAATAAAGCAAGGGGCAGATACTAGCGATAAAGTAAATACTAGCAATAAAGCAAGGAGCAGATACTAGCAATAAAGCAGAAAGCAGATACTAACGATAAAGCAGAAAGCAGATACTAGCAATAAAGCAGAAAGCAGATACTAACGATAAAGCAGAAAGCAGATACTAGCGATAAAGCAAGCGGCAGATACTAGCAATAAAGCAAGGGGCAACTACTAGTGATAAAGTAGATACTAGCAATAAAGCAAGGAGCAGATACTAGCAATAAAGCAGAAAGCAGATACTAACGATAAAGCAGAAAGCAGATACTAGCGATAAAGCAAGGGGCAGATACTAGCAATAAAGCAAGGGGCAGATACTAGCGATAAAGTAAATACTAGCAATAAAGCAAGGAGCAGATACTAGCAATAAAGCATAAAGCAGATACTAGCGATAAAGCAGAAAGTAGATACTAGCAATAAAGCAAGGGGTAGATACTAGCAATAAAGCAGAAAGCAGATACTAAATATAAAACAGAAAGCAGATACTAGCGATAAAGCAAGGGGCAGATACTAGCAACAAAGCAAGGGGCAGATACTAGCAATAAAGCAGAAAGCAGATACTAGCGATAAAGTATATACTAGCAATAAAGCAAGGGGTAGACACTAGCAATAAAGCAAGGTGCAGATACTAGCAATAAAACAGAAAGCAGATACTAGTGATAAAGCAGGGAGCAAATACTAGGAATATAGGCAGGACGCAGATACCAGCAATAAAGCAAGATGAAAGTAAAGAGTAAAGAGAGGAGGGGAAGAAATAGCAAAAGGGTGATACCAGGCGATCATTCATGGCGACACTATTGACATTACTCCCAATGTGGTCTAGGGTTTGTCGACCAGCTGGCTGAGTGTGCAAGTTAAACAAGCTTACAGAAGTTGGAGTAACTGCAAACAAATGAAAAGCTTTCCCATCAACACGAAAACCCATTCCAGTAATACCACATTCGGATTTATCTTGACTTTTCTCCACTTGAAGCATGAATCGTTTGACACGTTCACGTGCAATATCACCTTGGATGCAATAAATGCAACCATTGTCTAGTCCAATAGCTATCAACAATATTGGTGGAGCTTCTTCTAGAACTAGAAATGATGTTATCTCAACAAAAAAAAAAAAAAAAAAAAAAAAAAAAAAAAAACTCCCAATTACATTTACCCATAAGTTACAAGAAATGTTACAAGAAAGTGGAAGTATAAAATTTCAAACCTTTGCTTCTGGGAATTGATTTGTGAATATTCGTAGTGTTTGGATACAATCAGGAATTGGTGTGCTTGTACCCTCTGGTTGAGTTTTATCTAGGTCAAAAACCTTGAGGCATACAGACGATAATTGTGGAGATATTTGTTCATCTTCTCCAACAGTTAGTAGGAAGTTGCGTTGCTGGTCAATTCAGAATAAAAATGGAAAAAGATTAAAACTTTCTAGGTAACTAGATTAAGAAAACCTAATTTCATGTCATTCTATATAGGAAAACCTAGAACCCTAATTCTACACAAATGTGTTCTAGATTGCTAAATTCACGTACAACGTGATCAACAATGGGGAAACGGGTAATTAGGAATTATAGACAGACAGAGAGCGATGAAAAAACCTTGAGTTGTTGAATGAATAAAACAGAGGAAGTGTGAGCTTGGAATCCATAGCTGAACTTAAAACCTCGATCTAGTAAACTAACAGTCCCATCTTCACATCCCACCGCGATTTTCCCCCTTCCGCTGGAGCAACACTCGATTTTTCCGGCGACTTCATCCGGGACCAAACATTTTCCGGCGTACTTCTCCTCAAAGAACTCGAATTTCCTCCATTGATACATGTTTCTTCAACGTATTGAAATCAAATCGGAGCCCAGATTATTCTACGCAATTGTAATCATCTCAATATGTACACGATACGCCAATAGTTGAAGAATATGTGATCGATCACAAGGAAAATTAAATTAAAATCGTGAAATGAGTGACAACGTGTAACCTGTAATTAAAATATATATAACCTAAAGAAACTAAATTAAGTCGCTTGTTTCCTGTTAATGACATGTGTCTCGGCAATAACAGTGAAAGAAGGATTAAGTGACAGTTTTCTATGAGAAATCAGCTAAGAAATCAAAGATGAATAAAGCTCCATGTATATCTACAAAGGAATCTACAAACACCAGCACACGTAGGAAAAGTTATGCATAAAGCAACAAGAAAGAAAGATAGCAAGACTATTTCCCAAATCATGTCGAGTACTCCATTTCAATGGTGAACAGTTCATTTAACATAGATTCGGTCTATCATTTTAATTGAACATCTGATCTCCAGCCACCAAATAAACTTTGATTATCATTAAACAAGTTGAAAAACTAAACATAAGTAAAAAAAAGTATAAAGATTCAGCAATTCCAACAAAAATAATCCAGTAAAAAGTTTACAAGTGGATGATCTAAAAACCTTTAGATAAAACTTACCGAGAGATGCTTGTATGCATAGATAGCTTTAGGGTTTGACTTGCGGATGGAAAGAAGGATCGGTGGAAGAACTTCAAATTGATTAGAACGAAAG